TACGATGTCTCACAGCAAGCATCCCCTAGCTCAAAGAAATTCGAGATTTTTCATGGAGAGTATGAAACTGCGCATAAAGTTAATTTATTAATTATTTTTTTATAAAGTTAATTTATTTATTAACAAAGTTATTTCGTCCACTGTAGTTGTGCTGAAATGTGCAAGTTGTAAAAATGTTCGTGCAGATAATTACGAATAAATTCTTTTAACAGGTTAATAATTTAAACAGGCAGGGCTTCATTTTGGGGGGGGGAGAGGAGGTTGTTGTACATCCCCACATATCACAGAGAGCTGAAAAGCAAGCCAGTGCAAAGAGCCACAAATGTTACGCATGAAACTGTATAATTCACTGATAGATAGTTGCTTATTCTGCATATTTTGGACACGTGTGAAAGGTAGGCAGACCAATGAATTATGAATAAAGTGTAACAACAAACAAATAAAAATGAAAGTATAAATTTATCACAATTGAATAGTGATAAGATATTTTGCGAGAAATGGCCATCTGAACTCTTTTGAAACGGACAAATATTTTGAAATTGGTCTTTCCTCTAGAAGATAACGGACTCCATGGGACATTTTATACCACCCATTATCGAACATTTCCAAGATGAAAGCAGTACAAGGGCGATGCAAAATATACCCGCAAAGAGAGAGATGTAACGGTATGCACACCTCTTTCTAACATTTGCTTAATGAGAATAACTTCCTGTTTTGTCCAGAGACTAATTGTCAGTTAGAACTTTGAGGAAAGGTGTTGCGGAAATCCCCTGGTGCCTTTTCCGGACACAAGGGACGTCGTAAATTACCCCATTCCCAGGTATTTCCGACAAGACGTTTAACAAAACGAAGAGAGGGATGCAGTGAAAGATTTTTTTTATGCAGTGAAAAACTTGAAAGAAGACGCAGCCAGAGGCAATTGTTTTGTATTATGGCTGTAATGTTTTGATTATTTTACTTATTAGTATTCAAGAAATTCTTATTAAGCGGACTCGGTACATTTTGAATGAACTTTTTTTAATTAAGAACTTTCATTTAATTTTTATGTATACTCTTAAATGTTGTTACTGAACATATTGATTTCAAAACAGAAAAAAAAAAAAAAAAAAAAAATTTGGTAATTTTTTTAAAATTTCAATTAATTTAAAAAATAAAAAAATTTAAATATCTTTCCTCTTTTTCAGTTTTCAATGTTTTTGCTCCCAAAATTTTTAAAACATTTATTAGAATGTTCTTTATAACTTTAAGGATTGATTTTGCAATTAATGAGTTAATTTTCAAGGAAAAAAGTGAAATGCATCTACATACGTAAAAAACTGGAAAAAAAAACACGATTTCCATTACATTTTTAGTCGCAGTATTTTTTTTTTTTTATTATATATTGCAAAATCCATCCTTGATTCTGTTACGTTATTCATGATAACCATTCAGGAAAAATATTTAATTTGGTGCATATTTGTCAACGTTTTATTCGAATTTTTTATACTTAATGTCAGTACATATATTTCTAAAATTAAACTTACTGCAATTCCGTTGTGTAATATAAACAATAATTATAAGCTTTTATTATTTACCTGAACAGAAATACCGCATAAAAAAATCATAAAATACAAATACTACGTCCTTTATCAGTTTTCATTCATTATCGCATACTCAAAGCAACTGTAATATATAAATTAATTGTAATACTACAAATAATATATTTCCAAACTATAAGAATAATATTAAGTGGTTGTTTAATACAACTTTTTAAATTTTAATAAACGAAGCAATTTTAGTAAAGCATTTAAACTATTTTAAATTTTAGTAATCACAGAATAAGCATTCACAGAATCATTTTGTTCAGAACTGTCCAGGACCATATGCTATTCCTTCCCTTTTTTTCAGCCACTTTCTCTCGTCTACGTATTGCCAAATTTACGAGCAAGCTGGCTACTGTCATTTTTTCGTCTCTTTCTAAAGGAAAATTTGCGGCTATTTAAAATAGTAGCAAGTTTTTTTGTTGCATATCCCGTAGACACTTCTAAAACTTTTTGTACTTTTTACATAGTGCGTACTGTTTCTTCGTTAAATTCAGAAACTGCTTTCATGACAGAACGTTTCACATGTAATTTATGCACAAATATTTCTTTTGGAAACTTGGCCCAAATCATACTATGTAAAATTTCTTTAGCATTTTGTGTTGTGCAACCTACACATCTTTCTAGCAGTTCATTTGAAGCAAACCTTTGATAAATTGGAAGAATATTTGGAAGATATGCTTCATTTATTGGTGTTCCAATTTTCAACTTATGCTTGTCTGGAATTTCACCTTTAGCTATAGCTGACTGGTAAAAGCACCAAGAATCTGCCCCTGCGGGACATTTTGAGTGTTGAGGTTTCTTATTTGTGGAAATGCTATGATAGAACGTCGCATACATTGCTGTTTTCATAGCAATCACATCCCCTTATGTCGCAGAATAGCGTTTGGTAATACCTAGTCAGCTTTTTAATCGTTGCTTCTTTCAAGCTACCATGAGCTTTCCCTCCTAACGTAACGCCTTGCTCACGCCAGTCCTTTACAACAGTTCTCAATTCTGTTCCTAATCTTTTACTGACATGGTTTATGCATTCTTATTTGAACATCAGAACCATAAACCTTTTTGTCACACAAGTAATTAAAAGTTTTACAGTCACCATCAGATAGTAGAGTTACGTATCGAAATCCTAACGATACGAATCGTTTCCAAGAGAGCCAACGCAGCCTCCATTTCCATTGAACCAGATGATCCCGTGTGATTTAAATCACACTCACTTTTATGGCCATCACACCATATTTTAAATTCCGCACTTGATTCCCCGAATTCCATCTTTGCAAATGAACACTGACGGCACATTTTGCTCATTACTTCAAAATCAATCACGTAACCTGTAAGGATATCAATTACACATCCTACTCCTATGAGTGACGAATGTCCACGCATTAGCCACGTTCCATCAAAGGAAACACCTATATTGACAATTTCTGTAGAATCTGGTGAGATGTTTAAATATGCAGTTTTAACCTCCTTACGAACATCCGCAAATATATTTTGAGATGCGTTGGAATAAGTATAATTTAAACGTCTTGCATATTTGGTGTATGTTCTCGATGAAAAGGGTAGGATATTCATACCATATAAAATTTTTCGATGGCTGAATAGCCTTTTCCTATATGTGAGAAGGCTTGCGTGACACGCACATTTACGTCGTACCCAGCGTTAACTGTCTTCCTGCAAGAGTTTACGGTACATTTTTTTTTTTCCACACATGATACACAAATCAAATCATAAGAAAATCCTGATTTACATCCAAGTTCAAGCTTTAATGTCCGTTTCTCACAATCAGTGCACTTTACAAAACTGAATAGCTTATTAATTTGCCGAAAATCCACAATAACAAAATGTTCGGCATCAGATGCTTCATTCTTTTTCTACAACAGATAATTTCTGTAGCCTAATATTGCCTCCAATATAATTTTCCGAACAGCTGCAGTCAGCAACTTCATCACTGTTTTTACACCACCGCTTTCTACTCATTTCTATCGCTCACAAATTCTTAAGTTTCTGTCGAGGCTTATCAAAATTTAGCTGATTAATATAAACAAATATATATATTCTGAGCTGAGTAAGAGAAAAAAAATCCACAAATCAAAACAGATTGCAATTTCAGAAGCGAAAAATGAAAGGAAATATTTATTCAAACTGCACACGCCACATGTAAACACAGTTTGCCGATAGTTACAGTCACAGTTAATCGCGTTCCTCTTCTTCTGCGCTTAATAAATAAATATAGAAAATGAGAATTTAAAGAAAGTAAACACTGGGGTGGGCGTGGCATTTAAAGAGCTGTCAAAATGATTAAAGTACTTTTTATACCATTTACTATTGTCAGATCGTTTCAAAATTTCTTCTCCGCGTAGCAATGATATTAAAGAACATTTTCAGCAAAAAATTAGAAAATCGTCATTTTCATCGTTTTTCGCCAAACTTAAAGCACCGAGTTCCCTTAACTTTTTTAAATAAATATTTAAAAGACAACTGCTCTTTTCCTTTCATCCAACATGGGTGTTTAGACGTTACAGAGAATGAGGCATCATAAACTACCACTTGTTCTGACCCTATCTGCTTAGCCTTTGTTAAGAGCTGAACTGACAAAAGCGACCAGTTTGAAGTGTTTACAATACAGCAAGTTCTGATAAACGATCTGATTAGAAAATTAAACTCGAACCAAACATATTTCAGTTTCGGTTTCTGCAAAAAAAAGTCTTCATGGCTATTGATATAAACAGCATTAATATAATTGTTATATTGCATAATATAATTGTGAAAGCAGATCGAAAATTATTTATATGAAAAATACACAAGATAAATTACTAAACATGAGCCAGGTACATATATTTAATTGCAAATTATCTATGACGTATACAGCTATTTATGTGATGCTGACTGTCCAGGAGATCGAAAGTAAATCATGATACTCAGTGCCTACCGTAAAGACATCTCTCGTGTGGTTTCCAGACAGCGATTTGCAGTCTGACTTTCTCTAAATATGTACTCTGTTGAATTACTAAAAGTGTTCCGTTTATTGTTTTTATTTTCTTCGATTTGGGTCGAATAAAATGTCTGCTACACGGTCCATTTCGGCTGAATAAAATGTCCGCTACACTTCTATAAATAGGACTTCAATTTATTTCACAGTTTTATAACTAAACAGCTACTAATTTGGAAATTCAGATGCGAATTAACTCTGACTACAGAATTTAAATCGCAAAAGTAATCCCCAGGAATCATTCTAAAAACTGAATCATTATTGTGGATGATTCCGTCCCGTAGTTTAATAAAGTAAAATCCGTTAAAAACTCACCTTACGAATATTCTATGAATGTTTCTTTATATTGAAGATAAGAATACTAACTTTCATAAATACTGGTAATAAACAATTTACCTCATTAAAAGGTCAGTTGACAGAAACTGCACAACTTACCTATGCTCTTTCTAACTCTTTTCGTGAGTCTGCATTTTCTCTGAAACATGAACAAGCAATTAGAAAATGAAATCCTAATAATTCCAAAGTTAAAATGAAAAAAAAAAAAAAAAAAAAAAAAAAAAGAATTTCTATTAAATTTTGATCCTGTTCTCAGGAAGAACATCAATAACATAAACAGCAAAAATAAACTTCTAATCAGCACCAATAATTCAAAATCAGCTGACTTATTTTAAAAAGAGTAATTTTAAATGAGCAGTGGTCATGTGCCTGGAAGAAAGTTATAAGGTACTTTTCCGTTTTGCCGGCGCAAACGATAAAGTCGCCAATAATGTATCTTCGCTGGTAACCTTTTACGCCTCATTTTCAAAACAAGTCGCTACCATTTCTTATCAGATTGATTGTTTCTTTCAATACTGGCATACAATTACATAGAATTTTTACAAGATAGTTAAATTTTATGCCCTAAAACAATTCGCGGTAATTAATTAGAATGCAATCACACCGCTCACCTGAAAGCGAAAATATAGAAAAAGGCAAATCAAGAGTTAAATTCATCTATTCTAATGAGAACGCATTAATGAAATAAAGCACTGCGGTTTTACATAATTTCTGAGTAAGCTTTTCGTACGAATTGAAATAATTCTTGCATTCAAACTTGTATTCCAAATTAAGCTTTAACTTGAAATTAATGTAGGTAATTACTGAGAGAGTATCAGATTTTTGTAGTGTAGTTTACGTGAAATGAGATCACTTGGGGTCACGTGATACGAACCGGCGAATCAAGATGTTGTACCATGATAGCATAGTAAATTCTTAAATTAATGTCTTTTTACAAAATTTTAAACCATATTAAAATGTTTATGGCTTGAAAATAAAAAATTCTTAGAACTAACGTTCGTTAACATTTTTTATGTGTATACTGTATGTTGTCGCCAACAAAGTCTGCTTGGCGAACTTTGCGCCGGCGAAACGGAAAAGTACCAGTTATAATAATCATTCTCCGAATTACATCTTCCTTACTTACTTTGCTGATACTATGAAGTCTCTGAAAACTGATAGCTCGACATGGTTTCGATTCCAGGAAAACGGGTTGGCTGCACGGACGTTTTTGTGGTTTTCCAACGTGGATGCGAGACAGTTTCCCTTTAGAAATAGCTCATCGAAGGTCTTCCTCCCCTTAGGCAGATAGCACTAGCGTCCTTTGCCGTAATCAGATAAACGAAACCAAGTAGCAACAAGAAAATACTTCAGTGTCAGCACTTTTAAAGGCAGCATTTTAAAAACTCGTATTTCTTCAATAATTTTGCTAGTCTTGTTTTCTTGGTTTGTAGTGTTTAATAAAATTCTCTCGTGATTAATATTAGGATAATTTAGATTATGGCAAAGCAAACAAGAACTATCTACCTCAGGGAGGGAACACCTTCGTAGAAGGCTTTCTGAGGGAAATTGGCTCACGTTATAGATGAGGAAAACCACAAAACTAAACCTCCAGCCAGCGTGTTCACTTGCGTTTGAACCGAGACCAAACTACCAGTATTCAGCGGCCTTAACCACTCCCCTGGCAGGGGTTCTAAAGTTCAAATTTGTTTTAGTAGTATTTTATTGCTGCTTAAGAAAAAAAAATGGAATGTTGAACATTTATCTGTACTCTGTGTTTGAAATTGTATTTAACACAGAGCATACAGTTCATTAGTTAATTCGTTCTTATTTTTTGTCACTAAACAGAGAAAAGTTACTCCAGATATACGTTTTAGGGAGATAGCAGGAAAGAACTCACGAGGAAAATATTCCAACCTTGAACTTTAAATGTTTCTCAAAAAATATATATGAATCTATTCAATAAAATATACATACATCACCATCAATTAAAAATCAGTAATAACAATATTTACTTAACAAAATTTCGTTAGGAGAAATTACTAGCAGCTTTTACAAATTACCGATGGCTATTGAATTTCAGATCTGACGCGTATGTTAGTTTTATGCCATCATGTTCAAAGGCAGTGGGGCAATTCTCACTAGCTTCCTATAGAGCACTTTCAAAATTAGTTCTTGCCTTATGCGAATTATGTATTTATATACTCTGCGTAACATTAAATATTGTAGAGAGTGAATACAATATTTAATGTTACGCAGGTAGAATATTTTACGCAATTTGTACAAATATATTTTTAAATAAAAAAAAAATAACTATACAAATTTATTTAAAACTCAAATTTCTACTCACGAATATTTTGATAGTTTCCTTCCGCTGCTTACGTTTATTTTTTGTTCTCATTTTTAAGGATGGCGACTTCCAGACAGGTTTTTTGATTAACAAACTGAAATAAATAAAAAGTTAAAAATTAGCGACTTAATTACTAAGTTTATGTACATTCATAATTAGAAGCTTTAGTTTATATGTTACTTGAAAGAAGATAAAAATATTTGAACTTTTCAAATGTTTTCCCTTGAGATATCCTTCAATTAAAATATCCGGGAAAAGATACCCCAAATTGAATGAAACAGATTAGACAAAATTGGATTTGGGGGAAATTTTCCCCGCTCTTTTCCTTGCAAAATTTTCCTTCTGTGAGAATCGACATCAAAGACTCTGAAAATAAAACTATTTTGGATAGAATATCTAATACCTGATTTTTTTTTATCGAATAATAATAATGAAAAATGGTGAGTCAAATATTTTAAATCGCTCAGTATAGTATGGTGCAAACGACAATAAATTACATGACTGTGCTGCACTGTTATAAGAATGGGTTATAAAAGATGATATTCCCCAGACAAAGTCGGTGTAAGCCACTCTCCTGGTGCAACCAGCATGACGTTGGAAGGTTCATGTTGCTTGCGCCAGGAGAAAACATTTTCTGTCTGCTGATGGTCAAATTCGCATTTGGCTGTCAGCAAAGCAAGTGATTTCATGTAGACAGTGGCAGAGCACTCAAGGGCTATCTAGCTAAGGTGAGGGATGCTATCATGGAAGACTTCCTATGGGAAACTAGTTAGTATTCTCGTTACATATCAGGAAACACATGAAACCTTCCACACAGCTAGCGCGTTCACCAGGATTTGAATCGGATCGAGGTAACCGTGTCCATCAGTTTTATAGCTCTGTCGCTGGCGAGGTGATTTCAATCCGATTAGCATAAAATGCTCTGGAAAATTGAAGCAGTTGAACGACCAATGGACATTTTCATATCAAATGTAATCTTCGGCTGCTGGCTGATCGAAGAATAGCTTTTTGATATGGCATCTTGAGTAATGGCCTAGTTACCTTAATCTTGGGTCAGTTAATTGTGCGGAGGATGTGACAGAAAATGGTGAAGACTTGAAAATCTTTTCCCTTTTCTGAAATACAAACCGAAGTAAATTTGTTTCAGATTCTTCCTACAGTGCATGCACATTGTATGTTTGGATTTAGTTGATTATAGCTAAGAATAGAATGACCACCAGCATAACGGTTAGGAAGGCTTCGGGGAGGACGTTTTTAAAGAAACTCGCTCAGCACACCTTAAAAATGGGATAAAGCATAAAAACCAGGCAACCTGTCAGCTGGGAATTGTGTGTGTGTAATTATGGCAAAGCCTCGAGGGCTATCTGCCTAAGGGGAGGGATGCTTCCGTGGAGGACTTTCTAAGGGAAACTGGCTCGTATGCAGTTACATGGGAGAAACCACGAAAACGCCCATCCAACCAGCCCGTTCAAGGGATTCCAACCTCGGACCGAACTACCAGTGTTCAGCGACTTTACCGCTCGGCCGCTGGTGGGCCCCCTGTCAGCTGGGATTCGAATCTGTATCTAGTTAACTACGTTCGACGGTCTTACACACTCCGTTACTAGTGGGCTGCATAGATATATGATGCAGTCAACACTCTGCTTACTGAAGATTGTTTAGAAAAAGGATTTGAATCATTCAATTAAAACTAAACACACGAGGCCTGTTTACCTGATCCCATTCTGAGTGGGAGTAGCGTAGAGGATGAAATGCGTATTCCTATTTCCGTACAGCCCTACAGTCTTCAAAGGACTTTCGATTAATCATATTTTAAATGTCTCTAGTATATCCCAAAACCAAGAGAGTCACAAACATCCATGCTTTTATTGGATTCAGTTCCAAAAGCACACAGTCAACTTTAAGCTAACGATCACGTTCAGCTTGATGGCATCCAGTAAAAAGAGACTAAGCAAAATGTTCAAAAGAGAAGGTCATAATTTAGGAACACAACTTACTGATTCTTCAAAACGCATTGACGTATCTTGCTCTGTTCTTTTTTTCTCCCTTGACACTATAAATGAATATTTTAAAAACATTCTCTGGCGTATCAATCTGCAGTTAACAAGCTAACGTGTTTTAGAATATTGCTTGGAATTCAGAATAATTCAGAAAATCGAATACTACATCAGAAAAGCTATCGCTTATGCTCTTTATATGCAAGACAGGTCAAGATTTAAGAGCTCTCATCAAAAATTAATATTGCGCTAGAGCAGGGTTTTTTAAACTGTGGGTCGCAAAAATTTTAGCGGTTTTGATATTTTTTTAACTTATTATAATAATTTTACAGTTGCCAAATATTTTTACATCATATATCTGAAAGTAGATAACGATAAAACAATACAGACAAAGAAAAAAACGAAAATGTTTCGACGCATTCTTTTTATAATATAAACGTTCATTTTCCTTGCTTTGCACGTGACGCTGTCATTTCGTCTGGCACTTATTTAAAATTTTCTCATTGTTCTAAGTCTTAAAATTAGAAATTAAAGTTAATGGCTTAACCTGCAATAGTATATTACAGTACAAGTGAAAAAATTGACAGTTTCACTCACGCGTGTGTCGGATTTGCGCAATACTTATGGGGTCCCACAAAATTTTTGTAAATATTATAGGGTCCTGGGGGTCGCGAAAAAATCTCAGTTATAAAAAGGGGCCGTGACTGAAAAAAAAGTTTAAGAAACCCTGTGCTAGAGTAATAGCGCTATAATCTGAGTAAGTGTCTAATATTTACCTGTAAAGCAAAAGAACAAAGTTAAAGGAAACAGTTACACTGCAAAAATGACCAACAACTTTTATTACTGGGACTAAAACACTTGCCAAAATATTAAGAAAAATTACCCATTGTGCTTTTCATCAGAATTAAGCGATTCTTCCGCATAACTGTCCATTCTTTTGGTTTCAGCCAAAATAATTCTAAAATAAAAATAAAAACACACACTGTAGACGTAAATATTTCTGAAAAACATCTTAAATTTCTAATGAACTGAATGCAGATAAAAAGAGAAACTCTCCGACTATAAATGGTGCTCGAAAAAACGGGCTACGGCCTTTTTTTCTTACCAATCCTAGAAAAGTCCACTTCAGAAGCTGCACAGAAATGTCAAAGAATTTAATAGAAATTATTTGAACATCGGGATAGGCCAATGTTTTAAATTCAAAACTGATTTTTAATGTATCCTCCCAGACAGCTAGGAGTCAAGAAAAGATTTACACGCAAAATCATGGAGGTAGTAATTTATACCTTCATTCTATAGAATTAACGAATTTTACCTAATAAGAAGCCACCAATCTCCAAAATCGAACCACTTTTGCCATTTGATGTTGAAGTTTAGAGAACATTTTCGGGAACATTTAATTTTGATAGAAGATGCACATTGAAAACTGATTTAAATCAGTAAATTTACAAGTATTGTCAAATTTTTCACGTAAAAATATTGAACTTTTTCTGCTTAATTTTTAGTAAAGTATAAGGAATGTTTAACCAACTGGAGTGTTTTTTTTAAGCGGCCATTATAAAAGTTACATTTTGTATTTACACTGTCTTTTCACCGATAATGTCCAAAGTTTTCTCACAAAATTCTTCATCATTTTCTGAAAACCCCTGACTAGAAATACACGTCTAAACTCAATATTTAAGGAGGAAATAATATCTGTAGCTGCTTTTTCGAACACCCTATACACAATAACAGTGATATGGGTTAATTTTTCCCAGTTGAAATATTTTCCTCGTTTTAATCTGCTGTAATACATAAGATTAAATTTCATTCGAAGGTTCCTTATTCATTCATTTTCATTCAAAGTTAGTATCATATCATTTCATTCGAAGGTAGTATGCAAATTTTATTACATTATATTATTTATACATTATATTATTTATTATACTATATTTATTTATTATTTATAAATTCCGCTACAGCTTATAGAGGCCTGGCTCGATACTTAGTTTTTAGGTGAAATTAAAGTTCCAACTGAAGTCCCAAATAACTTGAGGTCCGGTATTTGATAATTTAACTATTTGCCATTAATTTAGATTTACTGCTTAGAGTTTGATTTGCCTTTAATCACTAATTAATTAATTAATTTACATATTTTTATCTTTCTTGACGGCCTTCCATAATTTCGGCATTTATAATTTTAGAAATTAAGCCGTGGCCCAAATGCAGTTTCGCGTTCGCAATTTAATTCTACCATCATTCTTATTTTTATCAATATTCGCTCGCGAATTGGAGGACGATTGTAACAGATGGCAGCACTAGAGTACACCAATAAACATTGGGGAAGAAAAACAAATTATGTAAAATGTTTTCCGAGAATTTTTTTGTTGTAAATGAGATAAATCCTTTTTTTTAAATCGAAAGTAAATTAATACTGATATTCACTACATGAATATTATTCCCTTCGCTACATACCAATCAAAGCCGTTGATTAAAATACTGAAGAGAAGCATTATATACTACAACTGAAATACGTTAAAATAACGCTCGTGCTGCCATCTATTAAAGCCGTCTATACCAGCGGTTCTTAACCTTTTGACGTTGATTAGGGGAAAAAAAATCAATTTGACTAATTCCGAAGTGAATGTACTATCCTAATGTACTTTAAAAGAAATTATTTCAGAGCAGTTTATTAGATTTATGGTATTAAAATAAAAGCATTGCGAGAATACTCAAGCAGAGGGTCATAGGTTCTTAGAAAGAAGTTAGGGGTATTCTATAATTACAGTCTGTTTCAGGAAGGGTTACACGAAGCAGTTTTAAGTCTCGTTAAGAGGTACGACGAAAGGGAAAAGGTTGGGAACTACAGTTAAAGACAACAACATAAAAAAAGATGAAGTTACTTTTTATTGTTTTAATTTTTATGGAGTTCATAAAGGCTAGTGGAGGTTCGTGATTAAGTTAGATTAACTTAGTTTAACATTGTTCAGCGTTGTTAATTATATCAAAGTGTTTCAATAATCATATAATTTTAATTACAGTTACTAATTACTGTTTGAATAACATGTAAATCAATCATGGTAAAACGCCTAACATAAATCAAAAGTTCAATCAAGTTTTTTAAACAAGTGACATGGATTTCAAGGTTAACAACTCAATTGAAAATTGATAAAAAAAATTTAAAAAAAAAAAAAAAAAACTTAAACTAAGCCGTATTAGTCATCTCTTTCGGAATACATTTCTGTAACACGAAAAAGATAGGAAAATACCGAGGCTGTTCGCACATTTTTTAGACGATTTTGCTTTGCTGTAAAAAAAAAAAATCTGCTTGGAATTTTTTTTAACTACAATTATATTTTTTAAGGTATAAATTATCGTCTGCTACTTGACAATTTTCTTTTCATGCAAAATGTCGCATTTAAAGAAACAATGGATGGAAGGCAATGTTTGTGTTTTTTTTTCAAAGAAAATTATTCGGATCTAGTTATTAAAAATGTTGTGAAAGCCATGGGTTTTCGATATCTAAAGATTTCGATAGGTAATGTTGTCAACAACAAAGGGGAAATACGTCAAAAATTAGCTTCAAGTGGAAAAATTGTTCCAAATGCATATCATCCAAGGAAAAAACGGAATATTTCGAATGTTGCAAAAGTAAGATCTTAAATGTTAAAAGAAAATCCGCTGAGTCAAAGAACAGTTGCAAAATCATTAAAATGCTCAGTGTCAACTGTAAGCAAAGTGATTAATGCTGATTTGAATCTTAAAAAAGCGAAAAACTTAATGTGCATTATCATCTCCCCGATATATCGCCGACGCGTTGCAAAAGTCACAGTAGACGAATCTTGGGTGTGCTGCAATAAAAACAGATCCATTTATTATCATCAAAGAGGATAAGAAAATCTTAAAACATGGTTCAAGGAATCCAAAGAAAGTTTTCCTAAGGGATTTATGATTGTTGTTCGTTTTTCACATAGTGGCAAATTAAAAATAAAGAGAGTGGAGAAAAATTAGCTTCAAGTCACATATTACCAAAAAACATATTTTACGTCCAGTTTTCAAATAAGAAATACCTTCTGTTAAAACACGGTGTGATCAATCAGCAGAACTGCATCAAGACAAAGCAAGCAGCAACACGCCAAAATCTACTGTTAATTTCTTGGAAAAATTGGAACGAGAAACCGATACCAAAGCCATAACCCTCCCCTCATATCCCTACATATCAAACAGGATAAAACACCTCTTCCGATACTACAAAATGCTTTATTGTCTTGGAAATTACGGTGTATCAAGATAGTAAAAAATAAGGGTTATCAAACAGACATCTCAGCGGCACGGGTTTTTGGATCTGTCATGAAGACCTGTATGCAAGCATTTATTAGCTAAATTTATATAAGAAATACCATCTGTTAAAACATGGTGTGATCAATCAGCAGAACTACATCAAGACAAAGCAAGCAGCAACACGCCAAAATCTACTGTTAATTTCTTGGAAAAAATGAAATGGGAAAAGGTTATCAAGGGCATACCCTCCCCTCATATCCCTGCTAAATCTCATGATGTATCATGCATGGATTTTTCCGCTTTTGGACTTTTAAAATCGGTTTGTCCAAAAGTCGACATACAACCCTCCTGGACTTTGGAAAGCTGTTCGAGAGCAAACAGGAAAAAACACCTCTTCCGATACTACAAAATGCTTTATTGTCTTGGAAATTACGGTGTATCAAGATAGTAAAAAATAAGGGTTATCAAACAGACATCTCAGCGGCACGGGTTTTTGGATCTGTCATGAAGACCTGTATGCAGCATTTATTAGCTAAATTTATATAATTACTTCTTTTAGCCTCTGTTTTCATAAACTTGCGTTCATTATGATTACATTTACGTTATTAAAGAAAGCAAACTATCTTAAGTTATAAGCTAACATGTATCAAGTAACAAAAATTCTCATGTACAAACAAAGCCGTTCATGCCGCTAAGTCGTCTAAAACGTGTGCGAACAGATACTGTATTTTTCTTTGTAGAATTATTGTAGTGCATTCGATGATTTTTTAAAATTTCTATGAGTATCAGATAGTGACGTTAGATTGAAACTAATTATTTTGTCCCTTCGACAAGAACAAATGTATTCATGCATGACTATATACAAAAAAATTGGAACAGTAAAGATCTTGGACTGCGATTACACTTTCCATTAAGTTAAATTTTGACTTCAAAAAAATGCGACAGCGCTTTGTTGATATGGCCGTTTTAGACTTAAGAACGCCAAGATGAGTAAATGCTTTGTAATTATTAACACTCTTTTTCTCATATCTTAGCTGCGCGATTATGAGACGTATTCCCTAATTTCCCTCTCTGATCTGTTACTTGCTGTTTTCTTTTATTAAGGTTTCTTAAAATAAAAAATAAAAAAAAAAAAAATGCCTTTTTTACCCCTCCTATAAACTAGTGCACACTAGCGGCCCAGAGGTAAAGTGGCTGGTAGTTCCAGGTAGGTTCAATTCCAGGCGACCTGACTGCAAGCGCGCTTTCGTGGTTTTCCCCATGTGCAACGTGGATATGAACCAGTTTCCTTCAGAAAGTCATCTCCACCGTTAGACAGAAGACACTTGAGTGCTTTGCAGTAATAAAATAAAGCAAACCAAGCCAAACCCATATATAAATAGTGGAGTTTTTGACATCAACAGAAGTTGAAATATCTCAGATACGAAGCGAATAAATGCGTGAAAATTTCCCATGAAAAAGTAAATGCAAAACATAGGTGACAGCACGGAGAGGTGTGTGTGTGTGTGTGTGTGTGTGTGTGATTATGGCAAAGCCTGGAGGGCTATCTGCCTAAGGGGAGGGATGCCTTCGTGGAGGACTTTCTAAGGGAAACTGGCTCGTATACACGTTACACATGGGGAAAACCCCGAAAAACGCCCATGCAGCCAGTCCGTTCGCGGGATTCGAACCTCGGACCGAACTACCAGTGTTCAGCGT